ATTTCACTTGAAAAGGACCACAACCAAATGGTCGAAACGTCGTGAAATAATCAAATAAAATTGCTAGTTACGTCGTAGTCAAGTCGTTTAAGCTTATTATAATATTAATTGTAATTTATAGTGACCACAAGCGTTGACTAGTGCATTGTGTTACCGCCCAATCGCTGCACTTATTATTATTCATCTAAGAAATCAGCATATAAATTAAACTCGCATTTTCAATTAAAATTTAATTTAATTTGATTAATCATTCTTTACGAGAATTACAACTTTACAGATACTATAATTTCATTGTTTTTTAATGTTATATCAATGTATTGCACAAATTAAAACTATTGCTAACACAACTGTTGGCTTGTGGGATACTCTGTTATAATTCTTTGTAAATAAGAAGCAAAATGGTGTAACGTCGTATTAACCGAGGATACTATATTATTCTAAATGGTACATTTTTTTGTGGATTTTAGGTAAATCATGTGCCTTTATAGAAGAAGAGAGTCACTTAAATGTAAGAAGCAATATTCTTTTTTTTTGTGATATCATTTTTTAACCATTTTTTAAATATGTTATTTAGTTCTTTTTCAATTTTTGCTGCAAGATTATTTTTTAATCATTTAGTATATGTTATTATCCTTTAATAAACCTACTTTTTTAATGTAAAATTCTTTGGTCATTGTCACCACAACATTACCTTTATCAGCACGTGTGAATAGGATGTTGGGATTTTGATTGCAAAATTTTTTTGTTTTTTTACACATGAAGGCCAATTTATCTTGTAGCTGATTTTTCTTTGACTTATAATTCAGAAAAAGATAAATTGAGGAATAGCAATGTTACGTATTGTGATAAGGTTATTAATATTCTTAGAATTACTCTCTATGTCTTTAATAAATTCATGGATCACTGTTTTTTGTCTGTGTTAATTGGTTGGTTAAATTGCTTCCAAGTTGTAACAAATTTGTTACTACTTCCGGAATGTTTTTGTCTGATGAATTAATAAACCATTTCGCGTTAGTTTGTTCTACAGGATTGAACGTCATATCTGAGAATTTGTTAACGGTTATATGATTGTTAATATGAATGTGCCTATTTATTTGAGAGTTACCCGTGTTTTTCATAAAGCAACTAAATTCATATCATGATAGGATTCAGTTCACGATGGAAATAGAGGAGAATAGATCCATAAACTTTTTAGATTTAAAGATTATGATTAATGAGAATAAGAAAATTGTCACAGACTGATTCCATAAAAAATACATTCAGATAGATATTTATCGTATTTTTCTAATCATCCTTTGTGTCAAAGGAAAGTAAAATAGGCACAATTTATAGTTTGATAGACAGAGCCGTATTATTGTCACATCCTCAATATCATAATAAAAACCTAAAATATGTAATATGGAAAATGGATATCCTCTGTCTTTTATCTTTAAGCATGTTGAAGTCGGGAAAAAAATTAACGTTTACAAAATTATGTCAAAGTAATACTGTTGATAACCAACTTAATAAAAACCGATGTGAAATTTATAGCAGTTCCTTATATTAAATATTTAACTGAACATATCTGCAAGTCCTTTCGAAATACAGATTTTGCACCGGGATATAAGTACTTAAATAGGCTTGATAATATGATTAAGGTTCATAAGAATACACTAAAAAAAAATATAATAATAACGTTATATACAAGATCGAATGCAAAGAATGCTCAGCATCATATGTTGGACAGACTAAGCGACAGTTGCATACTAGGATAAGAGAACATAGGACAAATATAAAACAACATGAGACAAAACACACGGTAGTGTCTCAACATATCATGAAAACCAATCATAATTTCGACTGAGATAATCCCAAGATTTTGGATCACGAAAGAAATTATTGTAAAAGATTGATTTCGGAGACTATCCACATAAAACAACAACACAATGTTCTAAATGCGACAGAAGAGAGCGAATATTTAGAATCTTTATACTTTCCGTTATTAGATTCTATTTTTAATAAACAAAATTATATAACATGATTGTCATCGTCCTTTTGCCACTGTTTTGCTTAATATATATAATACCGTCGCTTTAGTATTGATGTCATTGTCTGTACATAACTCAATAGTTATTGTTAAGTAATCGTGATTATTGTACACCGAATAATTTTGACGTATACATACATAATAATTTTTATCTTTTGACACTTTGTAAAATTTATTTATTCTAACTTGGACAAACAATTGGTGAGTTTAATTTAATTATGTAGACAACACCCATATTATATCTAATATTCTTAAAATTGTTAAATTTAAGTTTTATATTATGTTTATAACGTCTGTATATTGCAGCTGAAGAAGTCTTAAGTAAAAGTACACAAACGTTCCGCTTCTAATAAATGTTACATTTTATATTTTGTCTTTTTTATTTTATTTTATTCTAACTTTGTGCTTGAAAAAGGCCTAATAAAAATTAAATCTTATACTTTTAACTATCGAGCTTGTCAATTAATTTTAAATTCAATAGGTTTGATGTTATTCAAATATTATAATTTATGTAAATATATAGCAATCAAAATTTTTATGTAAATATATAGCATAAAAATTTTTTCTCATGTGTGTAATGTAAATTTTGATGGTATTTCTTGAAAGAGATAAAATGGTAGTTAGATATCTCATTCCATATGTACGTTGAGATGTTGTTATATAATAATTGAGAATATTTTGAAAGATTCTGACGAAGAGACTCTAATAACCTATACAAATCAAAAATTTCAATGTTGAGAATCTCAAGTCTAGATTTGTGCAACACATTCTCTAATTTTATCACAGATCTAAAACTTAAATTTATTGTTATAGAGGTTCATCAAATGTTTAGGAAAGATGCCAAATAACTTACATTGCTTTAAAAACTTCAATTTAGACACAGATCTTATAATACTACAGTTTGTATCTAACCATTGTTTTAGATAATGTACCATTTTTTATCATGTGTGATATATAAAACAATTGTGCACTAGGCTCAAAGAGCATAAGAATAATATCAAATTGGACTCAAGACACTCACGATCAGTGATAACTGAACATAATTTGAATCAATCACATGCATTCGATTGGGAGAATACTAAGAATAGTAGATCATGAAAGAAATTATAATAAAAGATTAATTTCAGAAATGATACATATCAAAAAACAAAAAAATAGCATCAATTTAAACAAAGACACTGAGTTGCTTGATAACAGTTATGTTGATATTCTTGTAAAATTAGGTGAGTCATGCTACAAAATATTGTTATTTATGTCGGTGCTTCATCAGATTATTAGACATTAGTCGTACCTGTCTCATAAACACATCAACTAATTGTAAGTATGAAGAACAGTTTAAATATAATAATAAATCTGAAGGAATATTTGACACATATGTAAGTTTATTATAACTATTCTTCTAGAAATTTGAAAAAGGTAATTTAATATGAACATTCACAGCACATCAATAGTAAAATATTTTAACCACAGACTGAACTAAGAATTTTAAAAAATAAACGCTTAAAGAGATCTGACTGCCTCACTTTTCGCCTACTAACGACAAACTTGAGGTGACAATTTTCTTTTCTCTTTTCTTTTCTTGTAATATGGGTCGGTTAATTATAATTGTAACATTACGAAACATTTTAGACAACATAGGCTGCTCATTAATGTGCGAGATAATATATGTTATTAGACACAGATGTTCTAATCTTTAGTTTTTCAATCTTTCGTTTTCAAATGTTTTATTGTTTATCATATTAATTTATTATGTATCATATTGTAAAAGTTAAGGTATTGATAAAGACTGTGCAGTCAAAACGTATACGATTGTAATAACTTATTTTATGCGGTTCTTTTTGTAATAATAAATTTTTATTTAATATCTTGAATTAATATTAGCTCGTTTAAGTTGGCCTTTCTTTCTTTTATCTTTTATCAATTAAAATAATTATTATAAATATTTTATAAATATTCTGGGGTAGTAAGTCGCAAAAATAATTTAGCTTGTTAAAATGTCATTTATGCTTATTATTAATAAACAAAATAGCGCGTATTATTTATTAATTATATTATTTTCAAAGCCACAATCTCCACTTGATTCCTCTCGACCAATAGAGCCAAACGCGATGTTATTGCGACAATTATGAAAGAAAGAACATTTGAAAAAGGAATTTGAATCCTATGGTTGGGATCTCAAAAATTCCCCTTGTTCCTTCTCTTAACATCCCCTGTAAAGAAATAGGCGAGAAAAATATTGGTCCGAAAGTCGGCTGAATCGGGACTCGAACCCGAGACCTTCCGCTTGCCGGGCGACTGCTCTTCCAACTGAGCTATTCAGACACGAATAAATATTCTTCTCAATGTTTATACCCCCCCACCCACCCAAAGCGTCGTAATTAGGTCCAGACGCGACGAACAATAATGAGAATACTTATTGAGTCAGGGATGTTAAGAGAAGGAACAAGGGAATTTTTGAGATCCCAACCATAGGATTAAAATTCCTTTTTCAAATGTTCTTTCTTTCATAATTGTCGCAATAACATCGCGTTTGGCTCTATTGGTCGAGAGGAATCAAGTGGAGATTGTGGCTTTAAAAATTAAAAGAGCTGATTCAATAAGTATTCTCATTATTATATTATTTTCGTTCATTATTGTATATCTTATTTTATCGATAAAAGAATATAGAGATTCTTATTTCCACCGTTTTGAATTAAATCGTCACTGTCAACGCGGACTTGGCAATCAAATATGCAGAAGCCTTAAACCATTAAATCGTGCATTAATAAATTATTATTTATAGAGAGAACGTGCATCGGTCTGCGCATAGATGGGCAAAATAGGGAGAGATACGGGCAGTCAAATGTTTTGGGGGCATGGTGTCATTTATTGTAAGCACAAATTAAACAGTGAAGGAGACAAATCTGCCCGAAACGGACGAATTTTCACCCGATCCGATGCACGTTCTCTCGTTGAACGGAGTATAGTTTACCATTCAAATGAAAGAAGACATGCGATTTGCGTATAACTTACGAGTGAAGTCATTTGCGAGGCAAGCACCCCATTCCTGCCTGGACAGCATAAAGTCTCGATTTAGGTCGCACGTGCGAGCGAATGTTCGGGCACACTTTTTTGGCCTCACCGCCTTTTTAGCGAGTCTTCTAAGTTCTTTATACTCTTCCGAATCTAAATAACCATTCCCGTCTTTGTCCAGCATTCCAAATTTCCATGACAGCACTCGTTCACTATTTTTTTCGCCTATTAATAGAGACTGTTAATAGATAACTGTATATCTTAACAGTCTTTAATGTGTTTGTCGCTGCCATGTATTGTGCGCTACAGATTTAATATCATTATATACTTTCTGACAGACCTCGTAAAAATAGTTTAAAAAATTATGAATGCTAATGTCTCTACTACTTTTTTAAAGAATATGAAATATCCTTTTATAATAAAATAAAGACTCTGTTCGATAAATCAAATTACAAAAATAAGAGCAAAGAGTCGTAGCAAGGAAGTCGTGCTATAATAATAATTGACCAATATGAAATATCCTTTTATCTTCTTTAGTGAAAAAAAAACTAGATATGATCCAGCAGTCGATGATTTTTATTATATTTTTATTTTTTTTGTCATCTCTTTTTGTCGTTTCTATCATTACATATAAAGCGGGGTCTACAATGGCAACAGGAGTACAGAGTACAAGAATAAGTAGTAAGCAGTACGAAATGGAATTTGCTTATTTCGTCGGGAATAACAAAATGAACAAATCCCATTTCATACTGCTTACTGTTTACTCTTGTACTCTGTACTCTTGCTGCCATGGACTACGTTTACACGGCCCGATTTAAGCCGGACTTATAAGGTCGATGGCTGAGAGTTAAACGTAAGTGCCGTAGCGTAGACGTAAAGTAAGACAGAGAAAAGACGTAACTACGTAAGTCATGTCGCGAATAAGCGCGTAGTGCATTACGTAGTTACGTCGTTTCTCTGTCTTACTTTACGTCTATGCTACGGCGCTTACGTTTAGCTCTCTGCCATCGGCCTAAGTAGGAGTTATCCCATCAGCGTTACTAAATCGATGTTAGAAACCGTGTAAACGTAGTCATTGTAGACCCTGCTTAAGGTTTGTTTTTTTATTGCTAAACTCTCTGCATTAGTGTACACCAGTGACACTAAAGCGTTCTTTATTGGAGTGTAACGTAGCCTGGTCCGTTCTTTATTGCAGTGCAACGAACTTTAGTGCAACAGTTCACTGTACTCGTTGTATTGGGTCTTGAGGAAGAACAAGCAATGCAGGAACGGTAAGTTCAATATAATGGCGGCAAATTTAATTTTATGAATAGTAATAGAAAATAAGATCTGTGCACAATAGAGAAAATATTGGATATAAATATTAAAACAATAAAATATAGAATAATGGGCCAATAAACCGAACAAAATGTAGTTATGGCACTAAATGACACTGAAATGTTACTATAAAATTAATAAAATTATAATATGGTCCAGCAAAATTATAATAAAATTATAACGACTCAGTGCAGCAATAGGTTTGTTCTTTATTGCTGCACTGAGTTCACAATGCACTGCACTGAACTGAACTAGTGCAAGCGGAGACAAGCTAGTGTAAGCAAGTATAAAGCGAACATTTCAGTGCCATTTAGTGCAGTAATCAACATGGCGCATAACATAATAATAAATAAATTATTAGATTCTAGACAAGAACTTGAAATTCTGTCTCTCCTAAAAAGTCAATAATACATTAATTTCCAGTTTTATTTATTTATTTATTATATTTCTTAGTTATTTGAGTCTCGTTATTAATAAGGCATGACATCAAAGTTATTTAGGCTTAAGTATGACTTAAAACTTTTAGATTTATTTAGATTATAATGTAATTGTTGATAAACTTAATTAAATCTTGCTTAAAAGCAAAATAACATTGATGCAATCAAGTCTTAGATAATAATTTTTATTACCTTCGAAAACGTAAGTAATATATTCATTTTTATCTACTAAAATATTCCCACTAGCGTCTCTAAGAATATTTGTTGTTTCTTTTTGAACAACACTTCTTGAACATTGTTTAACAATTTTTTCTAATCTATAAGTGAAAATTTATGACAATTTATTATGAATTTGTTTATTAGTCGTTTTTTAGTTTTATTTGTTATCATGACCTTAAAAATTGTTCGTTCTAATCGTTCGCAATAATTAATTTTATAACTTAATGTACCTACTATTAAAGAAGACTATAACAGAATAAGTAATAAATCAAAACATTTAGTTTTAATAAAGATTATATTAGTTGACCATTATAATTTTATTAATTTTATACCAACAGCCTACATTTTGCTCGGTTCATGGGCCCATTATTCTATGTTTTACTGTTTTAATATTATATCAAATATTTTCTCCATTGTACACAGATCTTATTTTCTATTACAATTCATAAAATTAAATTTGCCGCCATTATATTAAACTTACATCTGTTCCTGCACTGCTTGTTCTTCCTCAAGACTCAGTGAACTGTTGTACTAAATTTTGTTGCACTACAATAAAGAACGAACCAGTGCTACGTTATACACCAATAAGGAACGCTTTGGTGTCACTAGTGCAGAAAGTTCAGCAATAAAGAACAACCTATATTGCAGATCAAAGAAACCATTTTTAAGGGTCGGCAGGAGACATAATGGAGACCTTGCGGAGAGCCGTGAATTATAAATTCGTAATTTTCGTATAAAAAAAAAATAAAGAATAAATCGGATTTTCATTATGATATTTATAATCCGTAACATCGTTTTTCTTTGCCTACAAAGTAAAAAATGGATAAATAAAATGGATAAATTTAATAATAGGCGAGCAATATTTCAAGGAACATACTGAAGTCAAGAAAAAGTCAAAATGATTTTATTTTGATTTGAAATAGTCCTGCTTTTTCATGTGACAAAAATTTGATTTATCATGATATCATCACATATGCTGCTCAGTGACGAAAAAAATGATCGATTTTATGCTGGCCCTGCAAATTTCATGTTTTACTAGATAAATGTATTATATTTTTAATCTTCTTATATATTATAAAAAAGAAAACTTGTATAGGACCGTGGAGCACAGACAATTATATAATGTAAATAAATAATCATCAATCCTTCATTTTTTAAATCTTCAGGATTTACATTCTGAAGATAGGAATAAAGGATTCTAATTAGTTGATTCTCTTATTCATTATATTAAAAGTTTGTGCTCCGGCTCTTAGACCGCTTTGGTTCCTATATTACTACAATAGGATGTCTTTTTGATGTTTTCTTGACGTCAACAAATCGTCAAATTTTGAAACCAAAAATCATTATATTGGCCGGTATCCATAGTCCGATTTTATATTGAAAATTGTCTTAAGGGCCGATTTTTCCAACTTCTTAGTAAGTTTTACCCGACAAGTAGCATATTTTCGTCTCTTTTCAGATAAATTCTAAAAAAAGAGGCAAAGATATGCTACCTGTTGGGTAAAACTTACCAAGAATTGGAACAACCGGCCCTGAGGGTGCGATTACATGGACGCGCGGAAACGCGGAAGAAAAAGTAACTAAACTTTACTAGAGTCCCGCATTTCCGCGCGTTCCGTTCCGTCTGTTTTGATTGCCTTATATTACATGGAGCACATTTTGAGCGGAAAAGCGGAACGGTATAGTGACAAATAGACATTTGTATTAATTTTTTAAATTTATATTTACTTAATTCATTGTAATTCCTTTTAATATGTTCATCTTTTCAACTTATCTATTGAATACAAGCATTTTAATCAATAAATATAGTTAAATATTAATATTTTATAATTCCCCGTTCCGCTTTTCCGCTCAAAATGTGCTCCATGTAATATAAGGCAATCAAAACAGACGGAACGGAACGCGCGGAAATGCGGGACTCTAGTAAAGTTTAGTTACTTTCTCTTCCGCGTTTCCGCGTTTCCGCGTTTCCGCGCGTCCATGTAATCGCACCCTAAGTCTGGTCGGAGGTTGACTTAAGATCGCGTTCAACCAATCAAATGGCTACGTGCCATTTTAAGCTCGAACTTAAGATGATTTTAAATATAAGATCGGACTATGAATACCGGCCATTGACTTTCTATCGTGACATAAATATGACGTCAAAATGATGATTTTAACTGCGTTGTGTTCCTTGGGATATAGCTAAGACCCGTTTTACAATACGTCATATGTCGCAGTTGGATGTCGGAACGTAAGCGATTGTTCAATGAGAAAATTCCTTTTTCGAAAACAAAATTTCCGCATTGGACAATCGCTTACGTTCCGACATCTGACTGCGACATACGACGTATTGTAGAACGGGCCGTAAGCGATTGTTCAATGCGGAAATTTTGTTTTCAAAAAAGAAATTCCTCATTGGACAATCGCTTACGTTCCGACATCCGACTGCGACATACGATGTATTGTAAAAACCGGCCTAACCACGGATCAGGTGTAGTTGCATCTGATTTTGTATTGTATTTATTGTTAAATTTTTAAGAGCCAAATTGTTAAATATTACGTTGCATGTATAATTATAACAATATAAAGAATACGCCAAAACAAATTTCATGAATAATATTAATTTTTGGAAATGTAAAACGAAAAGTACGAAATGGCTAAGTTTGTATCTAAGGTGCAGCTAACAGCAGAATCTAAGGAATATTTCATAATAACATACTGACAGCTGACAGCTTGACAAGAAAATGAGATATCTTCTGTCTTTGTCTCTTTTACATCGTATATGTGTAGTGTCCATGTAGACACAATCACTAATACGTTGAGCACACGGATACAATTATTGTGAAATAATATCAACAAAAACCAACTATCGTATTATCTTTGTTTCTTTGCGTATATAAAACAAGGGTAGCTTAGATCTTGTTCTTAACATTTTTCCAATGATTATATCTTATTATATACATTATAGAATATTCATTCTGTCATCTTAAAAATTTGAGTTTAAATCTATGGGTATATATTATATACCATAATTTTTTTTTTTTATAATTAATTTTATCTCATTGGAATATATAAAAATGATTAAAAATATATTTTTGAAGGCGATCTTAAGAATTTTTAAATATTAAAAATATTTTAATAATTTTACAATTACAAGACATTATATATATAAATGCAAAATAATTCCGTAAATAAATTAATTCAGTATTTTCTATATTTAGAAATTCTTCAGTTACAAAAAAAATATTTTTAATAATTTTTATATATTTTAATATATTATTAAAAAAAAATTTAAAAAATGTTGATATTGATATATATTTGAACCCGAGTTTTCACGATGACAGACTAAACACTTTTGCACTCAATCATTATGTACTTTTCTTTCATACTTATTTATATAGCAGATATTATTAATATCAATATAATTGAAAAGTAATTAAATGATACATATTTATTAATTTATAAATTTACATGTTCTATAACAAACTAGAATTGATAGTCGTTCCCTCCTTGTCTCTCTATTGTGCTGATGATATGTAAAGTCGATGAAAAAATATAAAGTAAAAAAAGTAATCAATTGCCAAGCCTAATAAGCGCCCGTGTTTTACATTCTGTACATTAGTTCACTCTTCAAATTTTATTATTATTATAAATCACTGTACAATTTGGAAACATATGTAATTTTTTATATTGTTTGCATATATATATACACACATATGCGCATAAGCATATATTACAAAAAGTGGGTGCTTATTAGCCTTGCTACGTTACTGCCTTTTGCTACAAAAGACATTTTCAGGCCGTATCTCGCATGTACCGGCACAGTAGAGGAACAAGGGTAACACGTGATTATCGGTCCTTGTCTTTCTACGGTACGTCCGCGTGAGCAATGCAATGGTGTATGTACGTGTACAGACATACGACCAGAGAGAAAGATGAGAGCGGCCAGGCCGGCGTTTTGGCTGTTACCGTTTTTACGGGACTGCTTGAAGCGCCCCTCGCACCCGTTTTTAATATCGGAACTAACTGCACACCCATTTTCTGGCAGGGTCGATAAAGTTTGTATTTGGTGCGAGTCCGTGCTACGCCCATAATTTTCGTGTTAACACAGTATCACGTATTCATTCTGTATATGTGCGATCTTTTCTCTTTATATATATATATATATATATATATATATATATGTATTTATATAATTTGTATAAAAACTAAAATATAATTATTAAAATATATATATATATGTATATGTGTAATGAAATATATAAATCTTATTTTAATTAAAATAAAAAGAACGATTAATTGTTCGACCACCTGGATTTTGGAATGTAATTTTTAATATATATTATATTATATTTAATATTTATCGCCGCTTCTATTAATATGAAGTGCAATGTCAACGTGCAATAATGTACAATTATTTAAAGTTTCCATGCCTAATGTATCATGCCGGTATAAAAGAACGTCAAGTAGCATGCGTAGCCGAGCAACTAAGATGACGAGCTGAAATCGTGGACATTTCAAGTTCAAACCCCTGCCTTTTTCAGATTTTTTTTTCACTTTTTTCAAATAAGTTATTATGTGTATAAATGTGTAATAATCAATATATCATTATTTGATAATTTTTTTTGTAATGGAACAAAATAAATTATTTTTTAATTCTGCAAGGAATTTAATTATTAATGCAAACGCCCACACACATAATTTAGATATTCAATTTTTTTAGTTCAAATGTTTCTTGCAATCTGTATACGACAATCAGTCCACTCGCTGTGCCACAGATTGCATCGCATAATACGCTCAGAGTTATAATACGATAGAGATCGCTTTACGCTGTTTTTCCTTGAAATAAATAAATTTTACGTGTTGTGTACGCGTGTTTAGTATATTTGTTTCTTTCATATTAATTTTAACTATAATTAGTTTTTTAATTAAGATTATTTTAGTGTTAGTTGTTTATTTGTTAGTGTCCTGTTTTCTTTAATTTCGCATTTTTTAATTTTCTTTTTTTTTGGTGTTGGTGCTAATTATTATTTTTATTTTACAATGTCGAGTAAACACCGGTTTTACGATAAATGTGTGTATTTAAATTGCACAAATATTAGGACAAAAGATGGAAAACGTTTATTTCGATTTCCATTACAAACGGGTGCGAGACATGATTTATGGTTACGCAATAGTGGTGAGTTTATAAAATTGATTTACTTATTTATATCAATATATAATATATATTGATATGATATATGAAACAAATATATATATATATTCTTTTTTTTTTTAATAAAATATGTCAGATATTATGTATGTTTACGTATGGATTACGTTGAAGTGTTTCTTTGCCGCGTTTTTCTGATCTCGCCGAACGGTTCGCGAATCCTGTGCGAATAAAAAACGATGCGCGTGTGTGTGTGCGTGCGATTGTGATGATCAGTTTCAGTTCGTCTTCAACGCTTGACGAGAGAAGAGGTCCCGAACTGCTGTAAGTTTATAAAAACATATTTTTGTATAACACATTAGAACGATTTTATATTATTTTTTTGTCTAGAAAACGTTATATTAATAACCGTTATGAAAACGATCTCGACGACGGTCGTCACCGGCATCGTCGCCGTCGTCAAGATCGTTTTCATAACGGTTATTAATATAACGTTTTCTAGACAAAAAAAATAATATAAAATCGTTCTAATGTGTTATACAAAAATATGTTTTTATAAACTTACAGCAGTTCGGGACCTCTTCTCTCGTCAAGCGTTGAAGACGAACTGAAACTGATCATCACAATCGCACGCACACACACACGCGCATCGTTTTTTATTCGCACAGGATTCGCGAACCGTTCGGCGAGATCAGAAAAACGCGGCAAAGAAACACTTCAACGTAATCCATACGTAAACATACATAATATCTGACATATTTTATTAAAAAAAACAAAGAATATATATATATATTTGTTTCATATATCATATCAATATATATTATATATTGATATAAATAAGTAAATCAATTTTATAAACTCACCACTATTGCGTAACCATAAATCATGTCTCGCACCCGTTTGTAATGGAAATCGAAATAAACGTTTTCCATCTTTTGTCCTAATATTTGTGCAATTTAAATACACACATTTATCGTAAAACCGGTGTTTACTCGACATTGTAAAATAAAAATAATAATTAGCACCAACACCAAAAAAAAAGAAAATTAAAAAATGCGAAATTAAAGAAAACAGGACACTAACAAATAAACAACTAACACTAAAATAATCTTAATTAAAAAACTAATTATAGTTAAAATTAATATGAAAGAAACAAATATACTAAACACGCGTACACAACACGTAAAATTTATTTATTTCAAGGAAAAACAGCGTAAAGCGATCTCTATCGTATTATAACTCTGAGCGTATTATGCGATGCAATCTGTGGCACAGCGAGTGGACTGATTGTCGTATACAGATTGCAAGAAACATTTGAACTAAAAAAAATTGAATATCTAAATTATGTGTGTGGGCGTTTGCATTAATAATTAAATTCCTTGCAGAATTAAAAAATAATTTATTTTGTTCCATTACAAAAAAAATTATCAAATAATGATATATTGATTATTACACATTTATACACATAATAACTTATTTGAAAAAAGTGAAAAAAAAATCTGAAAAAGGCAGGGGTTTGAACTTGAAATGTCCACGATTTCAGCTCGTCATCTTAGTTGCTCGGCTACGCATGCTACTTGACGTTCTTTTATACCGGCATGATACATTAGGCATGGAAACTTTAAATAATTGTACATTATTGCACGTTGACATTGCACTTCATATTAATAGAAGCGGCGATAAATATTAAATATAATATAATATATATTAAAAATTACATTCCAAAATCCAGGTGGTCGAACAATTAATCGTTCTTTTTATTTTAATTAAAATAAGATTTATATATTTCATTACACATATACATATATATATATTTTAATAATTATATTTTAGTTTTATACAAATTATATAAATACATATATATATATATATATATATAAATAAAGAAAAAAGATCGCACATATACAGAATGAATACGTGATACTGTGTTAACACGAAAATTATGGGCGTAGCACGGACTCGCACCAAATACAAACTTTATCGACCCTGCCAGAAAATGGGTGTGCAGTTAGTTCCGATATTAAAAACGGGTGCGAGGGGCGCTTCAAGCAGTCCCGTAAAAACGGTAACAGCCAAAACGCCGGCCTGGCCGCTCTCATCTTTCTCTCTGATACGACATACACCACTACATAAAACCCGAGAATTAGTTTCTTAGTTTGGCAACACTGAAACCGGAGTTTCGCATTGTCACCTCGTGAGGCCCCCCCGCCCTCCAACATCAATTCGAAGTCTGACCGGACCTCCTGCCGACCCTTAAGTCTATTTTAAATATATTTGAAGTATTTTAGGTATTTTTAAAGAACATTTTCGTACTACTTACCGTCAACAGATATATTGATCCGTCTATATTCGATTCTGAAATTTTCGATAAGGTTCTCATTGAATTTGGACTTCTCTGTTCGATCGCAAGTGTTACGATGTCTGTTGTTTGTATACTGTGTGCGCTGTTTTCTTAGCGAATGTCGTGTTTGACCACTTCTAGTAGAAACAGCAGATTTCGAGTCGGATCTCAGACATCTTGGTTTTTGGTGTCTTACTGATGTATCGGGTAACGGCCGACCTTGTGGCGTTACACACCAACAATATCCAGTCTCTACATGACATTGAATCGGTGCATATGTTCCATCGCGTCGACAGATAGGCTGTGCGCCCAGTCGAGCTGTCAGTCTTGCTGAGAAGCATGCTGGCGTTTCTGAATATAAATTATTATTCGCAACATTATTCGTTAAACTTTCAATTATTCTAGAAAAGAGACAGGGAGAAAGAATGAATATTTAAAATAATTATCAAAATAATAGTGTATTTTACGTATTGTAGAATAAAATTTTTGAAATTTATATATATAAATTCAAATTATATATATATATATATATATATATATATATATAATTTATTGAGATCTGACATTTTCAACAAAATTTTGACGTACCCAGCAAAATGTTAGCAAAATGTCGGCAGTATGACAGCAAATCTAATCATGACTTTAAAGCAGATTCCTGTCTACTGTGTCCGCAATTGATGACATTCTGCTAGCATAAGTAATAAGCAAAATCTGACAGCAGATTAGCGGCAGAAACCGAGCAGATCTGTCAAACACAATCTAATAGTAGATTGACAGCAGAAATCGAGCAGGATATCGATTCTGTAACTTTTTTTAAAGTAAAAACGTGAAAAGTGAAAAATTTTCGCCAATCACTCATTAATTTTAAAATGAAATCGATGTGCAATTGGCAGACATTTTTTACTTTTCACGTTTTCACTTTAGAAAAAGTTACAGAATCGATACCCAGGACTTGCAATTTCTTATTGTCATTTGAATATGTAATAGAATTGAATATTTTTTACTAAATATATGCATAATATGTATTATCCATTAATTATACCCAGAAAGCACAGAATATTTATAAAATATTTTGTATTACACGTGCATGCAAAGTGGCACTTTTCGTAAGTGATTCTGTACGCAAAATAACGATTTGCCAACATCTACAAAATATTCCACACGTCATATTCAAAGCCTTATCTCACGGGAAAACCGTGGGCAATAACTTATTGCCCATGGATATCAAGCCTTGTTCATGGATATCAACACCATCTCGCAGCGCACATACAAAACAACTGGCAAAACTACCGCCACTCAGCGCCCTCCCAACACTCATTTAACCCTATCTGCTATTTATATATCAGTCACAATCAGGGGATCGATTGTCTACTTGTGTCGATTTTTCTTACTTTTCGCACATTTATTTCACGTGAAGAAATACACGCGATTGGCTATGAGTAAGGTGAAAATACGATATCCCTAGATTCCCGGGAGCACAAACCATAGTGAACATTCCGTAAAGCGTATATGCATGCATATATGTTTCAGTGATATCTTTATCTTTATAACCTCTGCAGTTTGAACGGTGTGAATAAGAATAAATGTTACAGAGAAACAAAAAGAAATTATGTTAAATTTTATGAATAAACATTCGGATTTCGGTCGGGGGCGGATAAGATATAATAATGAAAATAAGCGAAAAATGTAAAAAAATATAAAATATGAAATATATAAAAATTACATTAAAGATATATGAAATTATATCATAACAAGTAAAGAGAGATTATAATTTAAAATATAGATAAATATTCAATGTGTATATATATATATATATATATATATATGCAAATTATAATTTAACATATACTGCAAATGAAATTTATAATAAAAATTTATTTATACCTGTATAGTTTGACAAATGTAGTCTCTGGTGTATCAAACGAATCTAAAGTATCTCTTAATTGCCTCTTTATAATATTTTGATGTTTTATTTGTTGTCCTTTATTATCATTATTGTCGTTTTCTATTATCATAGCAATAAAATAATTCATCTTACATACGTAACTTTCTCGAGGTATGTGTGATAAAGAGGATATTAAACAACACTACGCACGATTTTGACGTTATTCGACACAGAATTTCTTGCCGAACAGTTTCATGCGAGTTAGTTCGTATTTTCACTATGATGAAAGTTACCCAATCAAGCGAGAGCTCACTTTTGTCATTTTCACCATACTTTAAAATATACAATCGATCCTCTGGTACAGAAATCAGATACTCAAAGTGCCACTTTGAATGCACTTGTAATACAAAATATAATGTGTTGCACGTACGGAAGTTGGTTATTGTCCACTCATGCGGGCACTCGTGACTAATAGCCAACTTTCCGTATTTGTAACACAATATACTATACCCAGATAGGAAAGCGTCCAGAAAAATTTTCGTATCATTTTAATTTTAAAATGTAATGTATATTATACTATAACTATAAATTAAAATTCTGAAATCACTGATTTTAAATTTAATTATTGTATCATGTAGCGATCTTTGTGAAATTGATACCTAAAATAGATGCTACTCAGTGAGAAATGATTGGTCAAATCGTCATCGATTCGACGATTTTGACATCGATTCGATAACGAATCGACGTCGATTCGACCATCATTTCTCACTGGGTACTATAATTGTAATACTTACAAGAAATATTTAGCACAATTATTGCTGAATATATTTTAAAAACTAATGTTGTAATTATTACAAAAATTGCTACAGCATAAAATTGTACAATTATTATGACTCTTTCAGCATTGACAGTATCATAATCTCCTCGAACGTGGCGTTAATGTCGCTCTTTCTCTACTCGCTACTGTTACCGTTGCGTCACAGTATACCTAACCTCCATCTATTTAGCAGACAAATTTTATATTTACTTATTATCAGTTATACCAATCGCTTGGGAATCGTTTGGGCACATTTAGGAAGATTCTCGTAGTTTAGGAAATAATAGTTTATTTATTATTAATTAAAATAGATTGAGTGTATAGTTAGCAGACAATAATTTGAAAAAACATTTCCTTTTTTTTAATTAACGTAAAATTATTTGGGAAACACGTCTGTAATAGTTTCAACGTTTGGGAAATAATTATTTTACTTGAAAATCAAGTTTAAAGTACGCTTAGTAGACATCGATTGGACCAATTATATATTTTTTATTTATTTTTATTTTTTATTACTGCTATCGTTTGGGAATTACTAGGGCAAATTTAGGAATATATTTGCATAATTTAGAAACTCATAGTTTATTTATAGAGGGGAATCGGTGATTGACTACGTGATAGAAGAGGAAAGAGTAAAAGATAAGATAAAAAGGATAAAGGTGGGAGATAATGTAGAATCGGACTATCATTCACTAATCGTGACGTTAGAAAGAAGAAATAATGAAAAGAAAAAAAAGGGGAAGAGAGAAGGAAAAAGAAAAGGGGGCAGATGGACGAAGAGGGGAGAAGAAAGAATAAGGGAGGAAATAGAATGGGAAAGAGGATGGAAAGAGGGAATAGAAGAGTTGGAGGAAAAAATAGGAAGGATAGAAGAGGAATTGAGAGAAGGAGAAAACGAAGGTGGAGAAGGGAAAAAGAAAAGGTGGTGGGACGGAAGAATGTGAAGAGAAGAGAAAAGAGATGAGGAAAAAGTTAAGGGAATGGAGGAAAAGGGGAGAGGAGGAGAAGGATACAGAAAAGCAAGAGCGGAATATAAACTAATATGTAAAAGAAAAAGAGAGGAGGAGAAGATAAGATGGTACAAAGAGGCGATAGAAGCAAGAACGGAAGGAGAGGTATGGAAAATCATAAACAGGGAAAGGAAAAAGAGGAAAATGGTGAATGAAGAGATAAAGGCGGAGGAATGGAAGGAGTACTTTATTGGGAGGGATAGAGAATAAGGTAGTGAAAGGAGGAAAGAAAAAAGGGAGAGGGATGAAAAGAGATAAGCAGGGGGGAAGTAAAGAGGATATTGAGAAAAATGAAGAAAGGAAAGGCAGTAGGAGAGGATGGAATACCGAGTGAAGTATGGAAATATAGAGGGGAAAGGATAGAGGAGTGGGTATGGGAAATGTGCAACAGAGTCGGGAGAAGGATGGCCGAAGAAGTGGAAAGAAGAGATAATTGTGCCACTGGTAAAAAAGGGAACGGGAGATAGGGTGGAAAATTACAAACGGGTGACATTGATGCCAACGTTATATAAGATATACATGGGGATACTAACGGAAAGACTAAAGAAGGAAATGGAGAAGGAGCATATGATACCGGAGAGTCAAACAGGTTTTAGGAAGGGAATAGGGGTGATGGACAACATTTATGTACTAAATTATTTGGTGAATAGAAAAGTAAGAAAGGAGGTAAGATAGTGGCAACATTCATAAATTTAAAAGCGGCGTTTGATTCGGTGAACAGGGAGATATTAACGGAAGCAATAAGAAATAGGGGGTTAAGGGAAGAACTAAGAAGTAGGATACAGGAGGTATAAAGAGAAACGAGAAGCAAAGTAAGAGTGGAGAAGGAAGAAGGGAAAAGCTCTGACGGCGAGAGAAATGAGGCAGGGTTGCCCAATGAGCCCACATTTGTTTAACTTATTGATAGCGGATATAGAGGAGGTGCTGAAAAAAGGAGGATGGGGAGGGGTGAAGCTGAAAGGGGAAAAAGTACACTGTTTAGCATATGCGGATGACATGGTACCGTTGGAGAGAATGAAGAAGGGATGATACACATGTTGGGGAAAATGGAGATTATATGGATAGAAAAAGGTTAGAAGTGAATGTGGAGAAGAAAGCTGAGTGGAGATGAAAAGGGAAAAGAATAGAGGAGGTGAAGGAGTTCAACTTATCTAGGATACAAGTTGCAAAGGAATGGGGGACAGGAGGGCACAGGTGAAGAGGACAAAGTAAGGAAGGCGAGCGGGTGATAGACAGGTGTGGAAATGGGGAAGAGAAGATTGCAGGAGATTGGATGAAAAGGTTATGGCTAATGGAAAGGTTGGTGCAAAACGGTGTTGGAATATGGGGCGGAAATATGGGGATGGAAGGAAAGGAGAGAAGTAGAGGCAATGCAGGAAAGATGGATTAGGTGGACGTTAGGAGTGAACTGGTGTACGCCGGGATACATGGTAAGAGAGGAGATAGGGAAAGATAAAGTTAGGATAAGAGCAGGAAGAGAGCAGTAGGGTACGAGAAGAAATTGGAGGGAGTTTAGCGAGGAAATGCTATGAGGATATGAAAAAGAGAGTAAGAAAAGGAAAGGAGAGAT